GTTGATTTCATATCACAATTCGATATAGTGCTCAATATACCTAAGAAGATATACTATTTCAATGATGATCCAAGGAATTCCTTGCCATTACAGGATGAAGTTATTGATTCCAACGCAGTTTTATCCGTTGTTGACGGGAATGATTTGCCGTTGCCGACTGTTTCCAATATTGAAGGAGGGACATTGAAATCGCTGTTGGAACATAACAAAGATTTGTTTGATGAAAATACAGGAGTTACCCCATATGCTGAGCATCCTGGTTTTTAAACCGGGAGTCATTCATTTTAATTTGTCAAAAAAATTGAATGTGTCATATGAATTAATCTACGACATCCCTTTTTTTCCAAGTTATGGCGTGTTCGATGTCAAAAGTATGAACCCTGGTGAAACGGACCTTATGTGCTTCCAATTTGAAAGCAGATAATATTAATTCATACTACTGTACGATTGCTCAGAAACTGAGTATCAAAAATAGAAAATCTTCTGGATGGGACGATATCTCAGTTAGGCTGTTGATGTGTTGGCGGATTCCATTATTAATTAATTTCTTACCGGAAGTTTTCCCTCATTTTTGAAGCAATCTTGGGTAGTACCTTTGTTTAATAGGGGGGTGATAAGAATTTACCATCTTATTACCGGCCAATATCCTTACTGCCAACTTTGACTAAAATTTTAGAGTGGCTAATTAAGGTGGATGGTGAGCTTCCTTGATAGGCATACATTGCTTTCTCTGTCTCTGTTTCAGCAGTCAAAAAACACTGATGATACCATATTTCATCTCCTGGATGAGCTGTATTAGAAGATAAATGACGAAGAAGTGGCCGCGGTAGTTTTTTGTGACCTGAAAAAAGCTTTCGATTGTGTCTGTCATGAAGTACTGCTTCTAGGGGTTCAGTACTTCAGAGGGGTTGGATATCACTGCAGGAGTGCCCTAGGGATCTGTTTTATTTCTAACATTAATAAAAATACGAGTAAAAAGAACGAGTATCAAAACGCAAATGAACAATGAGCACTATTTTTTTGAAAAAAAAATTCATGACACATTGAATGACAAATAAAAAAAGGGTTTGTGTGCCTCTTGGCGGCCATTTTAATTCAAGTTTGACAGAATCTTGGATAGTTCAATAGGACTACAGATTGACAGGATAAGTCCAACCAATCTGAGTTGTACAAGCAGAATATCATTTAGTCTAGACCAGAAAAAATATTAATTTTTGGCCGTATTGCATATCTCCGTATCTACCAACAAACCTGGACATTGGAAAATTCAACAGAATGCTACATAATAGGTAAGTAGAATCTGAAGACGGAATCGGGGTGAAACATCATCCATTGAATGTTATGTATCTAATTATGCACTAGGAGTAGAAACAATTCTTGACATAGTTCCACAAGAGGATTCTGAAATAAATAAAAGAGCTGCCGGTAAAAAATGGATGGTAGCTATTCAGGAAGAAGTTGATTTACTCAGACAAAACTTAACCTGGCCCAAAGCAGAAGTTTCTCCCCCCCCCCCAACCATGAAAGCTTTTGGTGCAAGTTAAAATGTGCTGAACAAGGAAATTTGAATCGTTACGAAGCTAGCTGGATTAGTGGCCAGAAGATTTCGTCAGATAAATGAGTATGATTGCCCTGGAACGGCTGCAGCAATTGCTCGCTTGACAACGGTTAGAATACTTTCAGCCATCGTTGGATTCCGTAAATGCGGTTCTACATGGCCATTTAAAGTAAGAAGTGTACAGGGTGGCCCGTTTAAGAGGGGCCTATACCTTATCTCGAAATCTACAAGGGCTGCGAAAAAAACTTAAATACAAAAGTTGTTTCTAATAAAATTATCTACAACTTTTTTGTATTGTTTTTGTTGTCACTCTACTATATACAGGGTGGACAAATATATATTTTTTTTTAATGGGACACCCTATATTTTAATAGATTTTTACATAACCCTTTGAAAGACAAATCCAACGATATACCGGTCATGTGTCTGTGATATATCGTTTCGAACTTATTAGCGATTATCTCCAAGATTCGGGATAATTTTCAACAGTCATTGTTACGTTATTCATAAACTTTGAAAACTTTTTTTTGCATGATATTTTCTATAAAATCATGCTCTTCTTTGGACTATATTTAAATTTGTAATATTTGTTCCAAAAACGCGGTGTTGGCACGTTTCCCAAAATGTTACGCTTTTCAATTTTTTTAAATGGGACCTCCTGTTAATTTTCGAGTTTTTGGATAGCTCTTCAAAATACAAATTTAACGATATATTGGACATGGATCTGTGATGCACCGTTTCGGCCTGATTGGCGTTTATCTTCAGTTCTAGCACAATATCTCATGTCATCCCTGTTGAATGAAAAAAATGTTAATTTTGTGGTAGATTAGCTGAAATAGAGCTTTTTATGCATCAGTGGTGATATTATTGAACAATTTTTTATACATTAATAAAGCACGTCAATAGATAGTCGACAGAAAATAAACATGTTTGTTATCCGGCTGAAACGGTGCATCACAGACCTATTTCCAGTATATCGTTGAATTTGTCGTTTAAAGGGCTATCCAAAAACTCGAAAATTCACAGGAAGTCCCATTTAAAAAAAATTGAAACGCGTTACGTTTTGCAAAGCGTGGCAACACCGCGTGAAAATTACCGCAAATCCTAAAGATAATCGCTAATAGGTTCGAAACGATATATCACAGACACATGACCTGTATATCGTCGGATTTGTCTTCCAAAGGGCTATGTAAAAGTGTAATAAAATATAGGGTGTTCCATTAAAGAAAAGGAAATTTTATTTGTCCACCCTGTATATAGTAGAGTGACAACAAAAACAATACAAAAAAGTTGTAGATAATTTTATTAGAAACAACTTTTGTATTTAAGTTTTTTTTACAGCCCTTCTAGATTTCGAGATAAGGTATAGGCCCCTCTTAAACGGGCCACCCTGTACATCAAATTGCATTGGCAATTAGGCTCCAGAAGTAGTTTCATAGACTGAAACCAACTCCAAGGGGTTGGAATGGAAGATTAGACTCATTTTTGAAGAGTTCGAGAATGATACAATCTTAGACTATATAACTTCAATAATTGTAGAAACAGGACAAGTAATTCATGAATCACCAAATAGTTTGAACCAGCATCAAGAAGTGCTTGGAATTAATTATCAAATGAGTGCAGCCAATACAGCTAAAGATTTGTTGTAGCGGGAGAACGCTGCAGCCGGTATGGATGCGTTCTTTAACGTCAAACGATAGCCGTGGGTTTGCATATCCTTGTCTTGTAAAAGAAGTTGGAAAAGGACATTGCGATAATACGGTGGATCTATTTTACTACGCGGAGCAATGTGGTGTATTTAATGTGCATCAATTTTGGAGCAAAACAAACAGTCACCTTGTCCTGTCACTTTAAAGATATTCTAAGTTGTCGGATGTTCTAGATCAAGTCGGCCATCATGTTAATATATTTCTGTCTTTGCTCTCACTCTTCCTGTTACTGTTATTCTTGCTTCTGCATAAGTAAGTACCTTCCCTACAAAAACCACTCAATTTTATAAATGTACTTAACAAATAGAAAGGATTCAAGTTCAATAAAAAGTTTTCTAATATTGATATTTAGCCTCCTATTCTCCTACAAAAATGAAGAATATACTGCGTAAGATCACAATTTCTCATATTATCTATCACTTAGAGAGGCATTTCAAACGATACATCACGCTGCAATCTCGTGAAATTCTTATGCTGATACATTTCAGAACAGGACGCTGTACAGAATATTGCGGAATTTTCAATATTATTTCACGGAGGTTGAATTCTCTGGGCACTTATGGCATAAAGATAAGGCAGAACATTGACAGCCCTAATCGGCGCTCAACTATTCCCAGGATTTTGATCAAGATGTGAGAAATTGATGAAGAATTTACCCCCAAGACGTTACAGAAGTATTTTTTATATCAAAGTTCATCAATGATTGGTTTTATCTACGAAGTACAACGTACCTGGTCCAAATGGCAACCTACTGTATATAATGATAACTGTTTTTCCAAATATCCGTCTATGATACTCGGATCTAGTTTAATTGAAAATTTTGAATCGGTGATACATAGAGGTAAATTGGAAACAAATTTAAATAAGCCCACGTAACTTCCTCAAGAGGTTTCCAAAAAAAAATTGTACCTGTATCGAACATTTGGTTGTTTCAAAATTAAACTATTACTACCAACAGGTAGGGCGTCTGGTGAGTTGAGTTTAAAGATTGTACAATTTTGCCTAATGCCTTAAACAATAATAAGACCAACATTGTCTATTGATTTCATATTGAAAATAACAAGAATTATTTTCGACAAATAATTTCGGATACTAAATCAACAATTTAGGAATCCCTTCCCATCAGAAAGCAAACAGCAATTCAATTGCTTACGCTGTGAAATAACTCAAACACTAAAGAAAAACAACCTACTATTGAAATTTGCTGTTTTCCAACAGTCTTTGAATTTTGGTTCAGATAACACTAAACTAAACTAAACACTAAAATTTCCAGTTGTGCTATCTCGTCAAAACTTTTGAAACAAATTATTTGATATGAATATCTGTACACGTACGGGAAATATAATAACAATCTTTCAGATTTTACTTTGAAAATTCAGTTGCCTACATTGCTTAATTTATGGGTGGCCTATTTTCTTGCACAGTAATAGGTATAGAAATATTTTTTAGGCCAAGGCATATTTTTTTTTCTCCAGGAATGAGGCAGTTTTCACAATTTATGAAAAATTCGTGATAATAGAGGAAAATTGGAAACAAATTTGAATATACCCATGTAACCTCCTCAAGGGGTGTCCGAAGAAAATTGCACCTGGTATCGAACACTTCTTTGTTTCAGAATTAAACCAATAAAATCGCACCACTTTTCTATTGCTTAAGTAAAATGTAAATATTCGACGCCACTGTCTGGGGGTGCATGACTAGACGGACGCTCCTCCGCGTCCAAAAAGAGGGTAAGCGTTGTGTCGGCGTCGCCACAGTCCTCGTTCGACACGCGCCCCCATACGAACCAGGATATCACGTACATCGAGTCCGACGTTGGGGGTAAGTTTCACGTAAACTTTCGGCAGTGATTTCAAAACTCAATTAGTGGGAAATGTTATTTTTCTTGTGAAGACAGAAGTGACCTGCTTGTGAAGTTTGATTTTAATTTAACTTCTTATGTTGTTTTTTTTTTTTTTAAAAGGTAATTTGGTTTATGATTATTAAGTAGATGTATATCAAGGAACCTTCGAGCGCTGAAATATAATTATGTATATGTATTTTAAATAAGTACGTTCCTAATCCAAAATATTTTATACTAATTCAACTCAACTCAACTCAGAAGGAATATTTTTATTTAATTTATTCCAGATATCTACAAAATTCGTGCGTGCGTGTGCGTGATTTCGCATTAGTTAGGCGGTCGATTGCATGTTTAGTTTAGTAATTTACGTTTTTGCACTTTTCTGGTTGGATTTTAAAACAGAGATAGGCTTATGATAAATTAAGCGAAAAGCGTCACGTTTAAGTCCGAATTCATGCGCATAAATTTAAATATATAATTTCGGTATAATTTATAGGTTCAATTTTCATATTTTTTTAGACACACCAAGCATTGGATACTTTAAAAAAGTTTTAAAGCACGCCCATGCTAGAATCAATATTGCTCCTAGGACACAAATTTTGCTCTGCCAATTAATAAGCATGATGCTTCCTTATCAATAAGCTCCTAGATTAAGTTACCCTTAATCTGAAGTAACTAAGAATCTAGCAAACCGTTCGAGCAGAGGCGCACTTATTTTTAGGGGCAGCTCATTTTTTCTCTAGATAATAGCATTGAAATTAAACCTATTCAGTTGTTGTTTTATCTTAAGAATAATTTGCTTATCGACATAATTTTTTTTTTCTCCAATATAATTAAGAATCGTTAATTCGGTTATAATAAAATATTTCTGGCTACCTTAAGAAAACTAAGATACAAATTAGTGAACTTCTGATTTCAAGTTCACTTTGTAATCGTTTTAATACCTACAAGGGATACTTTCTCTTCCTTTTGTTATTTGACTAATTCATACTTCCGAGAGAATGAACAGATCGTTGTCTTGATGGCTCTGTTACACGCGTTTTGGGTATAATTATCACTTATGAAAAGTTTATATTATAAATTTGAAAGTTATCGCCAATATAAGGCAACTTTCAGTTCATCATATTATCATAGCCTATTGCCTGTATTTAAAGTTTCACTTACCTGTGTATATTTTTATTTTTATATTTATGAGTTTGTGTTCCGTTTGCTAGTTGAAATCCTAATATGCGCTTCCTCTTTATAAATTTGTTTAAATGTTTAAGATCAATACAAATTCTCAGTGATATACACGAGGATATAGATAGGTATCTGGTTTTTCAGTTATCATCAGGCTGTTAACCCAATCTGTAGGATAATTGAGTTTTTCTATAATGTTTCTTTGTTCTAACTTTCCGAAATCTGTTTTAAAAGTGCCATGAATAGAAAAAGTAACTTTCCCATTGTTGTGGATTATAGTTTTGCATTTTCCTGCGGCAATTCGATGTTGGTTGCAGAATCCTGAAAACTTTTAAAAACATCAGCGTATTTCAGATAACCTACTCCTGTAGTTGAGTGAAATCTTAACTAATGCTTGATCTAAACGAGGTTCAGCATTAAGTCAACTATGAAAGTTTATGCCTGGAAATACAATATTCACCTCAGCCAAGTAGTTGAACTTCAATTTACCAGAATACACTAAAGTGATTGTTGATCTTTTAAATGAGGAGTTATTGAGAAAAAATCAAAAATTTTTAAGGCATGGAATATGTGTGTCCACATTCATCTATAAACAAGATTCACTTTTATCATATATGTACTTCTAGGTCACATGTTCGCCGTTCTACTGCTTCGTGGTTGGCTTGGGTTTGATTTCGTCCAGAGCTACTTTTCTGTTCCTCCGGAAAAGTAAGATACTGCAAAAGCTTGTCCTATTTTCCCGCATACTATCCTAGCTAGCGTTCGTATTGGCTTTTTTAAACGTTTTTAATTACTTTGGATTAAGAAGATGTTATTGCTTACGGCAGCTGTTCATCGGAAAGCATTTCTGGTCGTGTTTTAGGAGTGTGTTTACTGAGGGCGCCACGAAGTTTTTATTTATAAGGTCTAAAACTTCGAAATAGACCTCAAAATTGAATCTGGAATATTATGTATGAAAAGAAATAATACAGCAACGCTCTCCACTTAATTATGTTCACTAAAAGTTTAATGAAAAATTACAAAGTCTAGGATTTCAATTTAATGAGTACCTATCATGAATGTAAGAATAATTTGATCCCAACCCAGTACTACACTTAACTAAATATTATTGTGCCAAATAATAATAATGATCGATCATTTTATTTAAATTGTGACCCTTTCTACTAGTCTATCTATCTATCTTCAAACTCATATGCTCAACCGGATAGCGAACTGAACATAGAAATGAGTCATTCCATTTCTTAAGTAATGCTCAATAAAAAATATACAATACTAAATGACCTCGTTGGGTCTATCTGCTCCGAATATTCATATGCTCAACCGAACAGTGAACTGAACATAGAAATGAGACATTCCATTTATTAGGTAATGCTCAATAAAAATATAAAACGACTTCGTTGAGTCTTCTGCTCTGAAAATTCACATGCCCAGCCAAACAGCGAACTAAACATGGAAATGAGACATTCCAATTGGGTTATGCTCAATTTTAAAAGGTAAAATTTGAACGTAAAGAAACCTGTGGTCACTACGTCCAAAGCGAGGTGTCATCAAGGACGAAAGGCACTATCCATCAGGGACCATGACAGTGATCTCAGAAGTAAGGACACATGAAGTTTAGGGGAGCATGCATGAGTTGGTTCAATACTGGACTGGATGTAGGAGTAGGAGTAGGACCCTATCAGAAAACTAAATTACTGATGGTCTCTTTTTTATTAAAGGAAAGGTGAAATAGACAAAAAGCTTGTCTTTAAAGTTTATAATAAGACGCAAAGTACATGACTCACCCTGAACAAGGGGCTCCTATACCATGATTTGGTACACAATACAGGCACTGGCATCACCAGAAGTGGTTGCAGATAAAGATAGGCTGGAAAAATAATTATAAATTAAGGGATGTTCAAGATATAAAAGGATTTGTTACATACCTGGCACGTTCCAATCAAAAAACACCAAAAAAAAGTGGCCGAGTGGACGAATAACTATTTTCTTAATTAGCCATAAATGGCACTCCGAACTACCGAGAAAAATTAGAAGGATTCACCCCTTCAAGAGACTTTTAGGAAAACTTAGCACGTTTGCCAAAAATCAAAAGATTTCAAATTTCCAAAAATCAAAAGGGCTCGCTGACGTCACTGACGTCGACTCGCTTAACCAAGCCGCCAAGGAAGAGTGGCCCATCCTAAAGCAAGGAAGGGCGCAATTCAAATAATTGCAGGATGAAGCTAGCCAAAAAAGGTGGCGTTAGCAACCGGAAAAATTAGTATTCGGAAGGATATAGAGCTGGGCGAAAATCATTAAATAGAGATGGTATGGTGCCACCTAAATGGAAGTAGTACTTACATAAAAATGAGGTTGACTCCTAATTGCAATGTAAACCTAAATTTAAATGGAAATAAGTATACTTGCTTTAAATGCATTAGAATAATTAATATATACAGCAAAACCAGTGAATACAATTAAAATCACCTAAAATATAATAAATGTATGTATGTACATGCTTAAAATAATAATAAAATGACAAAGTAGCTTAATTGCTACTTTCATTCATATTTTTCGCACTTTTCAATAGAGTTAACATCTTCCTTGCTCAGAATTTAGAAAACACTTTTTTCGCTTCGCTCAATAGTACTCAATACTTTTGCAGTACCTACCTAATATTTTCTTGATTGTTAAGTCTGTCTCCCGTAGACTGGCTTTCTATACAGTTAATACCAAGGTACTATCAGTCTATTCCAAATAATTCTTTGTCTACTTCATCCACGACTCTTTGGTGTATCTGTATCTGGAAGCTTGGCTGACTACCACCGTGTTTTTCATCCTCTATGTGGGTACGGTGGCAATGTTGTACTAGTTCTGACGTGTGCACGATCCTGTCAGTGATATTGTTACTATCTGTTCTGCAGTAATTTCCGTTTGGAGTACACTTGGCATGGAGCCAAGAACTTTGAGGCAGTTCACGGCCTTTGGAGTATACTCCGTATCTCGAGCCTGTTTCAGTTTTGGATCCGTTGGTGTAGATGGTACCTACTTACCCCTGCCACTGTGTTGTCAACTCTAGCTTCCTACAATGGAAGCGAATTCGTTGCCTCGCGCCATATGCGGGCTCTCTGCAAACTGACTTCTGCACTTGGTTCTATACCAACAGTGTATCATTGTAGTTAAAGCGACCTACTTGACATAAATGCCCTTGGGCGTCAAACATGAAATTACTTCCATACCTACCCCTAGTTGGTGTGGTTTTCATTGCATCAGTTATGTTGAGGCATGTTATTCTTTGAAGGTGGTCTAATTTTCGGCTAATAGTGGTTTGTTCGGCTTTATAACCATAGATAATAGCTCCATAAATAAGCATAGGCCTGATGATAGCTACCGTTTGTGAGAACCCCCAGGTCTTACCAATGTTTGGTATGTCTACACTGTTCATAGGCGATATATGCTTTCTGTATTCTCTTAGTGATCTGAGAGTTCCAAGTTAGTTTGCAATCGAGTATCACTCCCAGATATTTGACGTCGGTAGCAAAGCTTAGTTTGGTATTCAAAAGTCTGGGGCTGACGGAAGTCCAGCTTCCTCTTTCTTGTGAATAGGACCATTTCAATCTTTTTGGGGTTGATGGACAGAGTGTATTCCGACGTGCACTATCTTTCTATAATTCGAAGGGCATGCATGCAAGATGCGTTCGCAGAGCGAGTTCTCAAATTTACCTCTGTGCAAGATGATTACGACATCTGCGTAAGCTATTCTGTAGTGATTGTCATTGTTTAGGCGGACAATGTGGCTGTCCAGAACCATGTTCCACAGAAGAGGTGATAGCACGCCTCCCTGCGGGCAGCCTCTTGTGACCGTTCCTTCAATGTTGATATCCTGTACACTTATATGTACGATTCTTTTGGAAATTATATGTAACATCCATCCAGTAGCAGTTTCCAGAGTATTCCTTTCT